TTGTTTGTTTGTTTGTTTGTTTGTTTGTTTGTTTGTTTGTTTGTTTGTTTGTTTGTTTGTTTGTTTGTTTGTTTGTTTGTTTGTTTGGGTAAAGACATAGAATGGATTTTAGAGAAAATGCAGGCAGAATTTGTGAAAGTACAAAATTGGTTCAAACTTAACAAATTATCATTAAACTTGGATAAAACTAACTATATGATATTTACACATAGACAAATAACTGTTAATATTCCATTTAGAGTTGATGGTGTGGAAATTAGTAGAGTCAGTGAGGTAAAGTTTTTGGGTGTTATTATTGATGAGAAACTGACACGGAAACCTCATAAATAATTGAAGAATAAAACTAGCTAAATTTATTGCATTGCTTTACAAAGTAAGGGTCTTGTTTAATGATAAAGCTCTGTATATGTTATATAAAAGACATTAATTGTTCCACACTTGGTCTATTCAATTCAAATTCAAATTTAAAAAAAGACTTTATTGATCCCAGAGGTAAATTAGGTAAATTAGGTATTGTGTTGAGGTATGGGGTAAAGCATATAAGATAATTACAAATCCTGTTTTTGTTTTGCAGAAAAGAAGAGTTATCACTTGAAAACACTACCATTATCCATCTAATATATTATCTTGTAAACTGAAATTATTGAAATTTTATGATTTGATTGATTACAACATTCTGTTAGTTACCAAAACACATTACCTTTTAACACTCAGGAAAATTTTGCAAAAAGAGAGAGCTGTTATAATCTTAAAGGGACAGAGATGTTCATGAAACCTAAATTTAGGACCTGTTTGAAAGAACGATGCACCTCAATCCAAAGATGATATTGTGGAATAGTCTGGAAGATGATGTAAAAGTGCCAAAACACTGTAGCTACATGTTTAAGAGAATGATAAATATACATATATATGAAACAGTAAAATACGTATCCACATAATTTGTTGTTCCAGAAAGATTTGATGTTTTTGTTTTGTTTTGTTTACTGAAGATTATTATTGGTTGAATTTATAGGAAAAAGGATGTTATAAGAATTTTTTCTTCTCTCTGTCGCCTTTCATTTAATTTTATTTGTATTTTTATTGTACATAGAATTACTTTTGTTTTTTAAGAAATGAATAAAATTTGAAAGAAAATTAAGGATATGTCCACACCACCACAACAAACAAAAAATTTTGATTTCAAACAAAACATCAAAGCCTCATTTAGAGACACAGAGACAAAACAAGCATTAAACATGTCTGCTTTGTGTCTATCAGTTTGGGTGTCCTGCTCCTATGATAAAATAAAGTATTTAACTTCAAAACCTGTGTCAAATGAACAAGACTGGTAGCTACAGTTTATGATACTTCAAAAACAAAACAATTTAATTATATCTCGGTTAATCATTTAACTCATCACTTACTTCAGTTTCATTGCAATTATAAATGGTGACACCAAGCACCATCTGTACCTCAATTCTAGAGTCACTGACATTTCTAAAAGCAGTTGAGTGTTTTTTTAACAACAATCTGTTTAGTGAATGTAAAAGTCTTTAAACAGGTAGACAAAACCCAAATTTGTTCTTATTTTTCCTATCCAATAAACGCCTCATACTTAAAACACTTAATGAAAATATTCAGGAAATACAAGCAACTGACAGTGTTTATCTGCTTTTGTTGCATTCAAATAATCTTTTATATTAATTTTAATAATTGAACCATCAAGTGTCATGCTTTTATAAGTTTTATTTAGATAATTAGTAAAAATGACCATTGATTCCTCACTAGTTGGTCTTTCTGTTATTTCAGGTACTGTCCAGCAGAGGGACTCAACCACAATTCACTTTATTCACTCAAAGACTTTCTTATTGCCCAGTAGTCAGTTAAAATAAAGTATGCAGGTTCATTTAACATATATCTGTTTTAAAGTCCTCTATGTAAGTCTCCATCAGGGATATTTAAAATTTTTGTTTTGAGGTTTTGAGTTAACTCAGCATCAGGAAGACAGAGGATGTGACATCATTTTGTACCTCTCCTGTTTCTGTGTGTGTAACATAATTTTTAGCCTATACATCATATGGGTATTGCTGCCATTGTGGAGCATTTTTAACATGGGTGGGGGGTTTTCAGGTGTTTTATTTTTTATCATCCTATGTATAAACACTGTGGTTAGCACTGTTGGCGTCCTGACTCACAGCATGAAGAATGTCCTGGGTTGAAGCCTCAGATTGGGCCTGGGGGGTTTTCTGTGTGAAGTTTGCATGTTCTGCACTCCGGTTTCCTCCCACAGTCCTAAAACATGCCTTCAAACCCAGGCCTCTCTTGAAACAGAGATTTGAGTTCTCAGTATGATTTGCCTGGTTACAAAAAGATTAACAATCTAAAATTAAAATAAAACTGCAGCATCAGAAGCAGAGTAGTGTTACAGAGGAAAGAGCTGAGGTTGGAGATTCAGTTGACCCTAATGAATTGTCAGACGAGAGTGTGTTGTAGTTATAATGCAGTATTGACCCCATTGTAGTAGTTATAACATATTATGGCTAATAACATGAAGTAATGTAGATCACGCTTTTTTCTGACAAAACAGTTCTGACCTGTCAGAGCATAGACACCAGGACAGATCCAGGTTTCTCCTTTTAGTCCTCACAGGATTTGGGAATATGGAAGCGAAGAAGTAACAATATCCTAATTAAAATGGATTAATAGAAATGCTGTTTCATTTTCAACATGTACCTGATTTTTTTTGACTCATAAGTATTGTTACTTCTTCGCTTCCATATGGGAATGGAGGTGGGACCCAGCACGTCTGTGTATTTATCAATGCCACTGAGCACACGTGCTTTGTATGAATGTAAGGTGTGGACCTGAAGATGTTCAGCTCACTGATGCGGCGGCATCAGGACCTTTAGAGGTGGTACTGTCTCTTTAAGAGAAGTTACCTGAGAGGAGGGGTACAGGTGCGAGCCGCTGGGACATCACGTTTAGCCAACGCTGTTTTTGCTCCACTCAGACCCCCCCACTACCACAAAATGTGTCGGCGGCGGGTCAAAGCTGGAGCGAGATGTCTGACTCACTTTAGCCCCCTGCGGCGCAGCAGAGAGAGCTCGAGCCCTCACGCCAACTCAACCATCAGTGACGTCGACGTCACGTGTGCGTCTCCTTCCCTCGGTTACGTCCGTCGTATTTTCCTCCCCTCCGCTGCCTTGACTGTCTGCTTTACGCCGCGAGCCAGTCGACACAAACAAGCGCCGAGAAAGACAAAAAGAGGACCGTCGTCGGGACCTGTCCGGTACCGGTATCACGTCTATGACCGAGCCGATGGACGGAGGGGTCTCACCACCTATAAGTTGCCATCAGTGAAGCCCGAACCTCCAGTCCGTTATTGCCTGTTGTGTGAGCTCATGTCAGTGTAAACTTTTTTTTGTGTTGTTGTTTTTAAACCTGCGCTTCTTTTTGCTGAGCTCCGGCAGACGGTGAGTGAGCTCGTCTCGTGCACATGTTTGCTAATGTTGTCTGAAAACTTAACGTGGAGCCTCACCTTTGCGGGCTTTTTTTTTTTTCGGGCTCAGCAGCGGCGTTGGCCAGCTGCATGTCGCCTGCTTAAAATGGCGACAACTCCACGGGAGGGGGAGAGAAAGTGTATTTCTTTTAGGGGGGGCGGGTGGTGGGGACTGAGGGGGCTCGTTGCCTCTTTTTCCTTCACTCTGAATGAGCTACACGGCTTGAGTCCAGACGAGCCCAGTAACTTTGGGGCTCACTCCGCCTATTTTACTTGAGCGGAAGATGCATCATTTATCTGTGTTTGACGTCGCTCCACTCAGATATTTAGACTGTTATTTTAACAATA